AAAGGCTCAGAGTTAGTAAGTCATAATGTGAGTCCGCAAAACATCTTGCGATGGTCCGGTAGTGTTTGGTGCGGCATCATGATCTCGAAGGATTCCGGATTTTTCTTGTATATCTACCGAGAAAAAGTGCGAAGTTTGCTAGTTCGTCAAAGCGTTCATGTGTCAGGTGCCAGATTATATGACAAAGTAACATTTGCAGCATTCCGTCAAATACAAGTTGGACTACCGCTGCGAAATGTTCCGCAAGGGGAGTTTTCTGCGCCTTTTCTTTGCAGCCAACCCAGTATGACACCATGACCCCTGATCAGGGATAAGACACAACCGAAACACATTGCCCCTTTCCTCCACGTCTACTTCTACCTAACCGTGATGCCTCTTGCCCCATGGCATTGCCCAACGGGGCTGGGCCGAGTACGGTACTGCCCACCTACCGCCATGCGGCCTGGAAACGCCGCAGGGCAACAGCGGCGGTCATGACTTCCGGGTCGGTCGGCGAGAGTGGGGCGGCACTTAGCACGCAGCGAAAGGCGCCGCGCAGACCGGGTGAAGCCAAAGTGCTTCTCAACTACCGGGAGCAATCACCGATGGTCAGCGCCGCGAAAACTGAGAGCCTGACCGCACGTAATTTAGATTTTTCTTGCGCGATAGCTCACAGCAACTCCGCGCCACTGGTCAAGCCGGGAACAATCACCGATGGTCAGCGCCTCGAAAACTGAGGGCCCGACCGCACGCAATCTGGAGTTTTCTTGCGCGGTAGTTCACGGCAACTCCGCGCCACTGGTCAGAAGCTGGAGCTGACGCACAGTGACCTTAAGAGGTTACTTTTCGTGGAACGTGCAAATGTATGATGTCAAATTCTGCAAAAGATGTGATGTTTGTGCCCTTCCCCTCTCTTTGCAATGGGATGGAGTGGATGTCACTGCACAGGCCTGCTTAATTGTATAAAAAAACAATGCTTACTCCAACAAGACCTGATCGGTTACGTAAGTTATGAAGTGCATTTGCGAGGATCGCTATGCATGTGGATGAGGCAGTAGTATTAGCCTTATATCTCGTAGAAAAAGCCGGAGAATGAAGAGATAGAGGAGCTTGTACCTCGAGTACATGCCTTGATCGAAACGAATAACAGCAGTAAATTCAAAAGCGCCTTCCGATCATACTCTATTTCCCAGGTTTTTGAACAGCGAGACAGTTTTTACAGGTCGCCAACATTCAGTGGATTACAGAAGGAGAAATTGCTAGCCATCACTACGATACAGCGCGTATCTAAGAATGAGTATACGTGGAAAGTGCGCGTACATGCTAAAGAATTCAAGTAAACAGGCATCACGCATCACGCTTCATTCAAACATGCAAGCGATTTCAAACAAACAGGCGCCCCGCATCACGCATCAATTACCCTGTTTATTTGAGATCGCTTGCATGTTTGAATGGAGCGTAGTGCGTGATACCTGTTTACCTGAACTTGTTTCCACGCACACATATTTTTCGCGCATTCTCATTCTCAGTTAGATATGTACTGTATCGTAGTAATGGCTGACCATGGCTCCCCGTTTTATCCGCCGAGTGTTGGTGACAAGTAAAAACTGTAACTCACTGTTTAAAAACAAAAACTGAAAAATCGAGTAGGATCGACAGACAATTTTGCATTTACTACTGTAATCCGTTTTGATAAAGGCATGTTGCTGAAATATCAGCGTATCTATCTCTCAATTCTCCTGGGTTTCCTATGAGTAATACGGCTATTACTTCTGTCTTAGCTTTAGCACCCGATCGGATTTTATCATAACCAATGGACGACAGACAGGGACGGAAACAATTTCAAATCAACCAGGAATGTGTCTTTACGTTATCACGCCGCAATCAACGGTCCACAATGTCCTGTGCATATGTGCATAAGCGCAACTGCGGTTCTAACTGCTGGTCAGCATGCATCGTTGCAATTCGGCCGCTCAGTGAACCGATGGTGAACCAATCAAGCTCTGGTCCGACTTTAGGCTTTTTTGTGGCTTGACTGTCCACATCGTGCGCAGACCAGAGCTGGAACATAAGCACGCTAACAGTCTTGTGAATGTGAGCAGCTTCTGGATCTGAATTGATCGAACACTACTAAGCACTGTGCGCTCATGCATCCTGAACATGCACCAAATTATTGGCGAAGTGCTCGCATCTAAAATGCCTTATGATGTTTTCCACTCATTCTTTTCAGGCAGAATGTCATTTCACGCTAAATGTGTTGGTCGTGACCATTCACGCAGCAGCGACAAAAAGAACCAGTCGTAAGCAGGCAATACTGCTCCACTGCGATCTCTCCAGCAGTCTGCATTCCCGAAGCCGCTCGTGATCTTTTCATAAAATCCCTGCCATTTAGCTCACAACGCACGATCCAGTCATAAATCTGGTGACCTCAGGCCATCATTATGACCTCCGTTTCATTATGCAGGTATGAATGCATCTTCAGCCGACACCAACCTCAGAAACTAGTGGTCTAACGCTCCAACGATACCGCATAGTCAACAGAACGATGCTCCAAGACCATACCGCACGGCAGGGGTCTTTTGTCACGATTAAGTGCGTAACTTTATCCGACGCATTCAGCGCGTATCCTCGACTATGTTCCTGTAAGGCCATCCCGTGGGCATCATGAAATTGATCAAGAATATGAAACTAGTCAGCAGCGTTTCAGCATAATTCGATTAACCCGCGTAATTTTGAGGCTAATTCAGGAAGCGGAGAGCTGATTGTTCGCTATGTCCTAACAGACGTAATTGCCTCATTTGCTCCGACAATTGACGACGTTTGGGTATTGATTCCCGGCAAGCCTAAAATATTACAGACGTCTTCATTTCACCATAGCTGTATATGCTGTTAATTTCGGCAACGTAGGTATTTCTAGACAAAAGTGAGCGGTTTTTAACTGGAAAGCATGATGCTAAGTATAAGCCCCTCATGAGCTTTCCACAAGACTGCATGTTAGACGGTTCTTATCTGGCAAAGTTGAGTGCACACAGAACACCGAAGTTTCCACTTTGTACGCAAATGCCGCCCAAAAATTATTTTATGCTTGTGGGCAAAGGGGGATAGGGGGTTGTGTAATGGGGGAGGGGAGTGAGAAAGCATCGTGTTATGCTCAGGTGTGAATGTGAGTGATAAGTGAATGTGAATGTGAATGTGAGTGATGTGAATGTGAGTGAATATTTTTAAAAACAGCACTCAGCCATAGAGCTAGATGCCGTTCACATCTTCTCATGAAAGGAACACGCCCGTTATTTGTTTCGCATCTCTACTTCAATTAACAGCCAAACGGACGGTGTCTTGCTTGGGATGTTATGCTTAACACAGCGTACACAGCGAAAAGGAATAGAGCGAAAGTATCTTTCATAAATGCTCGCTGTCTGTCGTCGCCATCATGCGATCAGGTAAGCATGAAGCGGGCTGCAAAGTAGTTTTTCGTGCGCGCTATGACTTTCGGCTAACTCTCGAACTGAGCGGCACGATCTTACCACTTTGCGTGGCATCAAGCGTGCATGAGATCCAAACTGGCTCGGAACAAATCCCGCCTATGTTTGAATTCGCCATTTCGGCCCCCCAGCAGCACGTGTGTGACTTATCGACGAAGCGTCCCATTCACACGCGTCCTATTTTAGCGCGTTCCGATACCCAGAGCCGGCACATACAAAAAGGCTGTTTCGTTAACCGCCAAGCAGTGCCGATGGGTTATGCGCCAAGGTTCCTGAGCCAACATTTTAACACTAGGCACACATCTTGAAGGCTGTGTCTGTTATCACTCGTGTGATAATGTGACGCGTTTAAATTCCAAAACAAAATGACAAGGTGATTTTTTGCCTGAGTAAACATTAGTTAGTCCTACATCGCCGGCTTTACTTGTGACTGGGCTTTTGTACCCCCTGACTGCCAGTGATCAATACCAATATTGTACCCATCGATCATCCGTGGGGTATTGTCCCACGCCTCGTCGACTGGCCGCAACAACCCAAGCAGGCCGAAATCATGTAACATACGGGAACGCATCGAAAAATTTGTCTCACCGACTTCACCAATGGGTGATACATCAATTTTGTTACCGGAATTCGGCGCGGTGTCGCCCTTACAGTTTCCCCTTACCAAACGGTATGATATGCAGTTACACCGCAGCCCCCAAACGAGTACCTTAAAACAAACGCCACACTCCACAGCACTCAAAAGCTCTCGGATTCAGATAGTAAAACCTCCCAACGCATCTCAGTCTCAAAGCGCACCGCTGACACCCTAAAAGCCGTCCCACTCGAAATGTCGCTAAACGTAAACAAGGGGTCCGGCGGGCAGCACGTGCGCCTGTGCTGTTGTTGGCTGCCTGCGAGGCGCGTCGGTCGACCCTTCCCGGCGGCGGCGAATGTGGGTGTCACCGTCAGCGACCGCGCCGCCGCCGGAAGGCGGGGACGCGGTACATCAGCGGCACCTCCAACCGCCGCCGCCGTCCCGAACGGCCGACTGCCGTCGCAAACGGCCGGCCGCGGTCCAACGGCAGGACGCAGTAAAACGCCCGACCGCCTTCGAACGCCGCATACCCAGCTTAAGCGTCCATGCCGCCTGTAAGGTCTGCCTCTGTGGTAAGGTCCGCCTCTGTGGTAAGGTCTGCCTGTAAGGTGTGCCCCGACTGTGGTGTCTGGCATCTATATTGCCGCAGTGCCACGCGCGGTCCTGACAGAAACACCGCCAGGTGGCGCGGTGCACGTTGGCAAGCCTCGCTCCAAGTAAACCCTCGTAAGATTCGCCACGCTGCTACCAGCGCTGTGCATCACATTCGTCCGCATCCCAAACAGTATGGTCTCGCTCACTCGCGGATTCTCGGTAAGCCAGTCCCCGGCGAGGCGGGATCGTTTCCCCTCGCTGGGCTTGGTTTTCGGGTCGGGACCTGACGCGGCTGACGGAGCCGCTCGTGACACTCGAGCCCCACGTCCCGACACGACTCGCGGATGACTCCGTCCCGGACCGCTCACCTGTTCGCGGCGTCGATCACCATGAGCGTCGACGCGTCCGTGCCGCGTCACTGACGCTGTCGGCGGCGACGCTCTGCGCGGGCACCCGGCGGCGGCGGCGGCGCGGGGCGACTGGCCGCCTGCTTGGCTTGTGGCGCGACCTGACGCTGTCGGCCGGCGGCGCGGCCGCCCTCGGCGCACATGCCGAACGGCGCACGTGCCGTTCGGGGGAACGGAGAGTGCTTTGCGGGGGAGGAAGCACTGTAATGTAAGCCACGAGGACGGGCAACGAGCCATTGGGAACGGAAGAGGTGGCGGCATGCGAGTAAAGATTCGCTTCGTTGGGAAGAGGAGGCCACACTTCTCTGCAACATGCATGCACACGCTTGAAAAAGCAGGTATTAACATGATAATGAGCGTGATTGTATGGGCACACTTGTAAACATGGCCCACAAGGCCCGGTCATTTAAACACACACATTTACGAGGCCGCTCAATTTGCGTGCCGAGCTGGCACTATGCAAGGAAACAGTTGTAGTTAGCATTTGTAACGCTTCTTACTGTATCAACTAAGCATCACTATATCAGTATATGTCAAATGTATATATATATATATATATATATATATATATATATATATATATATATATATATATATTGATATGTACTATCTCTCTCTCTCTCTCTCTCTCTCTCTCTCTCTCTCTCTCTCTCTCTCTCTCTCTCTCTCTCTCTCTCTCTCTCTCTCTCTCTCTCTCTCTCTCTCTCTTCATCTCTCTCTCTCTCTCCTCTCTCTCTCTCTCTCTCTCTCTCTCTCTCTCTTCTCTCTCTCTCTCTCTCTCTCTCTCTCCTCTTCTCTCTCTCTCTCTCTCTCTCTCTCTCTCTCTCTCTCTCTCTCTCTCTCTCTCTCTCTTCTCTCTCTCTCTCTCTCTCTCTCTCTCTTCTCTCTCTCTCTCTCTCTCTCTCTCCTCTCTCTCTCTCTCTCTCTCTCTCTCTCTCTCTCTCTTCTCTCTCTCTCTCTTCCTCTCTCTCTCTCTCTCTCTCTCTCTCTCTCTCTCTCTCTCTCTCTCTCTCTCTCTCTCTCTCTCTCTCTCTCTCTCTCTCTCTCTCTCTCTCTCTCTCTCTCTCTCTCTCTCTCTCTCTCTCTCTCTCTCTCTCTCTCTCTCTCTCTCTCTCTCTCTCTCTCTCTCTCTCTCTCTCTTCTCTCTCTCTCTCTCTCTCTCTCTCTCTCTCTCTCTCTCTCTCTCTCTCTCTCTCTCTCTCTCTCTCTCTCTCTCTCTCTCTCTCTCTCTCTCTCTCTCTCTCTCTCTCTCTCTCTCTCTCTCTCTCTCTCTCTCTCTCTCTCTCTCTCTCTCTCTCTCTCTCTCTCTCTCTCTCTCTCTCTCTCTCTCTCTCTCTCTCTCTCTCTCTCTCTCTCTCTCTCTCTCTCTCTCTCTCTCTCTCTCTCTCTCTCTCTCTCTCTCTCTCCTCTCTCTCTCTCTCTCTCTCTCTCTCTCTCTCTCTCTCTCTCTCTCTCTCTCTCTCTCTCTCTCTCTCTCTCTCTCTCTCTCTCTCTCTCTCTCTCTCTCCTCTCTCTCTCTCTCTCTCTCTCTCTCTCTCTCTCTCTCTCTCTCTCTCTCTCTCTCTCTCTCTCTCTCTCTCTCTCTCTCTCTCTCTCTCTCTCTCTCTCTCTCTCTCTCTCTCTCTCTCTCTCTCTCTCTCTCTCTCTCTCTCTCTCTCTCTCTCTCTCTCTCTCTCTCTCTCTCTCTCTCTCTCTCTCTCTCTCTCTCTCTCTCTCTCTCTCTCTCTCTCTCTCTCTCTCTCTCTCTCTCTCTCTCTCTCTCTCTCTCTCTCTCTCTCTCTCTCTCTCTCTCTCTCTCTCTCTCTCTCTCTCTCTCTCTCTCTCTCTCTCTCTCTCTCTCTCTCTCTCTCTCTCTCTCTCTCTCTCTCTCTCCTCTCTCTCTCTCTCTCTCTCTCTCTCTCTCTCTCTCTCTCTCTCTCTCTCTCTCTCTCTCTCTCTCTCTCTCTCTATATATATACATATATAAATGTATGCATTCTGGATCTGCCCTAACGCAACATCCCTCTGGGTTGTAATAGAGTTAGTTCCACTCTGCGTTTCGAAAGATTGGAAAAGAGTAGATACCAGGTATCTAAGATCCTAAGTACTGCTGGATATCAGATGCATTACGTGAGGCTTGACTAGATATTAGACAAAGTTGCGATACACACACGCAACATCGTGCACTTTTTATCGGTAATTTGGCTGTTGTGCACCATCAATACGAGTACGAAATGTAAAAACTTCAGTAGACCTCTGATGGGGAATATTGTTCTCTAATTGCAACGAGTTGTTTGGCCATCGTAGCGTACGGAAATACAAGATTGTTGTGCGTGTGTTCCCACGATATACACACATGACTCGGTATAAGCAAACGATAACAAGAATCCTTGCTTCTGAAGTTGACTGGAGAGAGTCCACCAAAAACACCCGGTGTTTCAGCCCCGAGCATCCCAGCTGTCTCTTTTCTTATTCTTTGAGTGAATACGTAGTTCGCATGCATAGCCTAAGCCCCTGACGGCACAGAATTGACGACATTTTAGGCGTGCTTGCTCTTTCAGTCGACTTAACACGGTTTTTGCCCACATGCTGCTCTATGCTGCATTACGGTAGGATCGCAGCTTAAGGGCTTAGGATTCAAGCTAGGATTAAAGCTCAACACAAACCAAACTTTTAAGGGAAGAGACGCCTAGATCCGTAGCACGGCATTTTCCTCTCCATTTTTTGTTTTTCGACGTCATTCTTGAGAGCCGCTGCACCACCTGGGCAACGACTCCGTCCCTGATTGACCGGATTCTTTTCACTTCGCATACTGCACGCGAATGTTCGTTTTTCGGGGTACACATTCATAATCACCACTGTGCACGTTTTGCTCGTAACCGTAGAGTCCAGGTAGACCATTAACGACGCCCGTGATTGTTTACAAGCGCCAAATCTGAGCACATTACGTCTGATGCCAAGTGCCCAGACGCAGGTTCTTGCGTTTCACCGCAGTTTTTACGTGGCGATTTGCTTGCCGCGCCTGCCTTGTTTATATGTTGTGGCAGTATTTCAATGTGATTAGGCCCCTTTCACGTCGTGTGAATGTCGTTTGGTAAACAGCGTCGGCCTTTCATTCTTCGATGGCGTGTGCATAATCAGAACGGCCAGACCAGTTGTGCCACTTTACTCAAATAAAACATGGGCTTTCAAATTTGGTTTAACGTGTATGTTTTGAGTCGCCTACGCTGCATTTTCGTTGTCATATATTAGACTAGTCCTAAAGCGTTCCGTTTTCAGAATACCGGTTTCGGTGGTCAGGCTATATCAATAGAGCTAGTCTATCAATCCTGGCCAAACGGGCCGTAACTGACCGACGCTGGTCAAATTCGTCTCAACAATGCAAGAATAGCTGAGCTAGATGAGATTGGCTTCCACATCGCACTTTGGCTCGAAGTTTATTTAAGTCACCTCGACAATCGACCAGAAATATATGCACTCTGAACTCTCAATGCCACTCTACTTATACTCTCTTACCTCTTACCTCTTACCCCTCTTAACTGTGGCGGTCATTGGCACCATGAGGTGGCCTTTGCAATTTTAGGTTTTACTGTCGGTGTCCTATCACTTAGCGTAACAATCCCAGCATGCATCCGTTCGGGCGTATTTCCCGGAGCCGAGAGTGGTTCGCTTCCAGTGGGGGTACTTCAACTTAATACGGGTCGTGTTGTTGCTCCCTCAGCACGCATTACATACGTCGACCAATCAGCCCGAACGAATTCTTTCGATTCGCACACGCTCCACTTGGCAACAGCACATCCAGTTTGACACGGGCTGTATTTCCGAGCTATGAACGCGCAAGCTAAAATGTCCAGCGATTTATGTTGCCGGAACACTCAAGCATACAAGGAGCATACACCTGTGATAGGTGTGGTTCTCGTTGTAGTGCTTGATTCATACACTGATAAAATTTTCCGAGGGCATCTAGAAATTGTTCTGGTTTGCTGTCATATCCTCGGTTGCATCAGCTGAGGAAAAATTGGCTGAATTGTGGTTGTAATTCAGTTGCTTCCGTAACAAGGGTATGTCCTGCAACTGGCCCCAACAGTCTTGGTCATCACGGATATTGTAACAAGTATTTCCATTTCAAACATCTTGCTAAGGTTATTGCACTTTTCCGCCGCAAAGCTAAAACAGCGTAGCTGATTCTACGACGAGTAACAAACTGGCACATGATGTGTAGCTTCCGGATTCATGAACCAGCCTGAACCTTCACGAGTACCGTATATCGAAAGCGGCCCTGCGAACGGAGCGGCGCGTGCACTGGTTTTTGACGCTTCTCTTCAGTCACACACATCACATCAGTGCGTTAGCTCGAGTTTGGATCAAAGCGATTGGGGCTAACGAAAACAGCGATGAGTTAAAATTGTAAAACGTCGCTGCACTCTCCTGATTTGCTTGGTATCTGCCGTATGATCTCTGTATAACGCCTTTCCTTAACGTCGCTATCATTCTGCAGCCTCTCAGTCGAAGCACGTGCCCTTTCGACGTTGTGCAGGGAGGGAGAGGGGTCGTAGTGGTATTTTCAGTGTGTCAACACGTTATTCCGCTGCATCACCGTCAAAGACAAAGCGCACGCATGACATTATTTCGGCTGGGTAATGTTTGCTGGGGATGAATGAAAAGCTTGTTTCGGACCAATAAATTTCCTCTGTTTTAGTAACAGTAAAATTAGCACGCATTTGGCCGGTCAGTCCCCTTAAATGTCACGCTAGTCAAAGTAATATGTGCTTAAGTGATGTAAGTCTGAGTTGCGAGGCGTGGAAGCGAGCCGTGGAAAGCTGCAGATTAGTGAAATGCAGTGTTGAAAGCTTTTGAAAACGGCAGCAGCTGCTGGTGGTGTTGCCCCTCTGCAGTATAGAAAGTTTCGTTCATCAGACCGGGGCTGAAGCTTTATGGCTTGCGGTTTGTAGTTTACGATCGTATCCGTTGTTGAGGTGATAACCCATTTCAGTAGCTGATTTTCCTGAAGACATCTTGTGTACAACTTTCGTCATGAGCCAACAAACGATTCTCCACAAGACATAGATGCCTGG